ATATCAGCAAAACTAGGGGCTGAATCTAATCAGCCCTAACTATAAGCTTTATCAAAAAGGAAGGTCTTAAGCGCAGTCTTAAAAACGGATAGGGTGTCTGCCGTCCGAACACAAACTGAAAGCTGATTCCACAAAAGTGGAGCTTGATAAGAAAAGGCTCTGGCTCCCATTGTACTTTTAGAGACTCTAGGAACAACCAACAACCCTGCATTCTTGGAACGCAATGCCCTAGTAGGACAAGTAGGGTATAATGAGTTCTTTAAGGTAAGATGGCGCCTGCCCATTAAGGGCTTTGTAGGCGAGAAGAAGAATTTTAAATTCTATCCTGTGTTCTATAGGGAGCCAGTGTAAGGCAGCCAGAACAGGAGTAATGTGGTCCCTTTTCCTAACTCTGGTTAGTACACGAGCTGCAGCATTTTGAATCAGCTGAAGCGACTTGACTGACTTCTTGGTACACCCTGATAATAAGGAGTTACAATAATCCAGCCTTGAAGTAACAAATGCATGGACTAGTTTCTCTGCATCGTTTTGAGGCAAGATATGCCTGATTTTTGCAATGTTACGTAGATGGAAGTAGGCGGTCCTTGAAATTGATTTTATGTGGGTGTTAAAGGATAAATCCTGATCAAATATAACACCAAGATTCCTTACAGTCTCACTGGAGGCCAAATTAATGCCATCCATAGTTAGTATATCTTTAGATAATTTGTTTCGTAGATTCTTCGGGCCAAGTACAATAACTTCTATTTTGGTCGTGTTTAACATCAAAAAATTGAAGGTCATCCACGTTTTTAAGTCCTTGAGGCAGTCTTGAATTTTATTTAGATGATTAATTTCATCAGGCTTGATTGATAAATATAGTTGAGTATCATCCGCATAACAATGAAAGTTTACAGAATGATTCCTTATAATATTGCCTAACGGAAGCATATATAGTGTGAACAAAATAGGTCTTTACTCCCAGCGGCTCAGGAAGAAAGCCCTCAGGATTACAAAAGACCCCCATCACCCCAGCCACAAACTGTTCTGTCTGCTGCCGTCTGGCAGGCGGTACCGCAGCATCCGGACTAAAACCACCAGGCTCAGGGTCATCCCACAGGCAATAAGACTGTTAAACACCTGAACAGCTGAAACAACATCCACAACATTCATCTGATCTGGCTGCTACTTAGAAATTATTGTATATCATATTCCAATCACTTGTATATAGAATCTTATTGCACTATTCCACTTTTTTTCTTTTTGTATTTACTTGCATTTTTTCTGTTTTATTATGTTGCACTGTTGGAGGAGCCTGTGACCTAAGATTTTCATCGTCATAACTACACTGTAGCTATGTTCGTATGACCAATAAAAGCCTTGAACCTTCTCACCAAGCTGCTTTCTGATGGTCTTGTAACCCATTCCAGCCTTTAGCAGTCATCAGAGGGTGCGGACCCTCAGGGAAAATATTATCCCTGAGGGTCCTTAGACAGCTCTTTAGTCTTGCCCATGGTGGAGGTTGGAATCCGATTTATTGATTCTGCGTCTTTTATACAGGTAACAAGTTGATATTAGGAGTACTTTTTTAAAGGAAATGGACTTATGTAACCGGTCTGTGGGAGCCAGAATACTTGTTGGTTGCAAGGGGATCAAATACTTATATATACATACAGTATATGGCGTTAATAGCTGTGCCATATATACCTGGCTGCTCTATCCCTCAGAACGGTTACAGGATGTATATTTTTTTAATTGTGTAATTTGTTATCTTTAATAATTTGTATGAATGCTTCTTGGTTAATATTAAGCTGGCTATTCTCCTGTTGTAACAAATGCACATTTCTCCTATGTGGGACGAATAAAGGTATTCTGATTCTGAAGAGGGTTGTCCTATGTCCTAGTTTCGTTTGAACACATGAGGGTAAAGGTAAAGAGTTTTAATGAAAAACACAGAGTTATACAAATCAAATTATTATATTGATAATAGTAAGAAATACTGTTCACATAAAAGTATGCATGTCTGATTCTTCAAATATCTGGCTTATTCCCAAACATTCAGTAGAGATTGTATCGTGTGTCTCTCTCTCTGTGTGTGTGTTTTCCCAATGTGCAGCTGGTTCCATTTAGGCTCCATTTGTTCCTCCTCCAGGGAACAGATAGTGCGACTGCCCATTTGTGCCTCCATTAAGGGAGAGGGAACACCTCTGCTCATGATTCAGTCTTTACTTTCCCCCAGCACACACAGCCATCTCCAGTCCTGACTCTTTGCTTGCATGGGTTTAAACCCGTTAATAACCATGTGTGTTTTTTTATGTGGATCAAATTGTGTCTCTGTGTAAACAATTAAAACCCAAAACATTCGGATTGCACATTCAAAAGTCTTCTCTCAATCTTTTTGGTGGATCAAGTTCTTGCTGTTTATCTGTTCAGATGGGCTTGGATGTTGAAAGCCTGATTCTGTCTGGGCTCTCTGGTTGAAAGTCTGAAGAACATTAGGCCTTTGCCAATTCATTTCCCCAAACATGGTCTGCCAGCTTGGATCATATGACTCATCTGTGCTCCTGAACACATAAAAAGGCTTTCAAGTTTTCAGAGATCCTGCTTTTTGAAGCATTTTGTCCTTGTCCTTGCCCCTTCTAATGCGTGACAAACACCTGTTTCTCACCGTAGTCCGTCTCTTTTCCTTCAGTTTCTACCATCTTGTCCTTCCACCTAAATGGCCAGGATGTCGGGCTGGTCCTGTTGTGGCAACTCAGCTCGGGGTCGTGCAGGAGGTTCCACATGAGCCAGATCTGAGGAACACTGAGGCTGTGAACAACCATCAGTTCCCTGTAAAAACACGGGTCAAATGTTTGAAGGTGGGGCGCTGCAGACGGACGGGGAATCCCGAAGGTACGGAAACCCTGGTGACGCGATGGTTTGACACCGATCAGCTGGAGGCACATTCCCAGAAAGACATCATCAATGGGGAACAATTCCACCTGGAAGTAAAAACAAAATGCTTGCATAAAATAATTCTTATAGAAGATATACCCGCATATTAAGTGTCCAATTTTGATTCACCTGTTGACAGGCAGAGCTAAGTCTCCGAGCCGTATGTCCTGACATGACAAACCCCCCTCCACCAGCGTAATTTGGGTACAAGCCCCCTCCGTAGACAAACTCTGGCACATAGTATTTGGAACTGCGCCGGCGAATGGGTTTAGCATGGATAATAATATCACCCACAAACAGATCTGTGTCTGGCTTTTGACCTTGGAGCATCTCTAGTATATTCTCCACGTTAACATACACATCAGCATCGCCCTTGAAGATGAATCTGAATGAAGCAAAACAATGGGAAAAACATCAGATGTGAGTCTTACTAATCTAAGAATCAGATTAACCCAATATAGTTTATAAACACTGACTTGACATGAGGGCAGCTGTTGTTAACCCATTCAAGGAAATGTGTTTCCTTCAGTGTCAGGTTGAAGAAGGTGTCGTCAAAGTCCCACAGCAGGATGTCCTTAAACGTTTGACTCTCGTAGGTCAAAAGCCGATCCCACAGAGGCAAAGCTGTCCGATTCCTGGGAACCCCGAGGAGGAAAAGAGTGCGGATGGAAACACCATTTTTGAAAAGTCCCTCTTTACCCCAGGTCCGACGTACAACCTGAAAGTTATATCGAGGAGAGAGGAAAAGATGAAATAGTAACCTATAGGTTCAACTTGAATTACTTTCCAGCAGAGGAGACACATAAAAACAATAACTTGAATTGCAGTCAGTCTTTCCCAGTTAGGATTCCTTTATTAAAGGAGACATGTCATGCTTTTCCGGTTATTACCCTTCCCCTTGTGTGTTATGAAGGTTTTTATGCAAGTGAACCAGGGGTGTCAAACTCAAGGCCCGGGGTCCAAATCCGGCCCGTGACTTCATTTTATGTGGACCACAACAGCTCTGAAAGAATATAATTTGTTTATTATACGGTTACATGCCGATTTACAGAAGCACATTGCCCATAAACTACATATCCCACAATGCATCTCAAATTTGATTTTTTTTTCCCAGAATTTGACTTTTTTTCTTCAAAATATGCCTTCTATCTTAGAATTAGCCTTTTTCTCAGAATTTCCTTTTTTCAAATGTTCACTTTTTCTCTCCAAATTTGTTTTGGACTTTCTTTCTTCAGAATTTGGCTTTTCTTTTTAAATCATTTTGTGACATTCTCACTGTAAAGACTTGCAATTATTTGCCTTAGACTTCTGCTTTCAGACGTAGTTAATTATGAAGTTATTACCCAGTCCGATAATAATCCAATGCAGAGGCAATAATGTAATATTATATATTATTT